AAAAAAAAAAAAAAAAAGGTAAACATAGAAATGGACAAACAGCGCCCGCGCCGGCTCTATAATCAACGACATAAACACACGTGCGCCTCAAAACTGCGCGCCCACGCACTCTTTACTCTAGTCAACCATCCAGTCAACGTAGGTTACAAACACAGTCGCGCCTGGCGCGGTATACTTAAACTTTTAAACGGAACTATTTCCTGTCACTTGCAAAAACCAGGGCGGATACCCTTGTAAGGGTATTCGCGCCGACATCGTCGTCGGCACGGCGGGCTCTTGGTCCTAAGCACTCACGCTGTCGCCAATTCATCGGGCAACTCAACCTGATGGTGTCGCGGCCAGCCTTTTTAGGCCGACGATACGACATTGGCACTTCGTACGGAGTAAACTCCGTGGTCCAAAAATAATAAAGAAAAATGTCCCCTACTTTCTCCGCGTCGCGGCCCTATACCTAGCGCGACCGCCCTTTTGAGCCTACTTAGGCCCTGAATTGCGCGGCCGCTAGGCTAGGTCTAGTTTTAATATTCCCACGACCATGTATTGCCACGACTCTATTAAGAGTCGTGACTAACCGGTCACACTGGCGACTACTGCTATTATTGTCAGACGTCACAAGCGTCCGAACCTAGACTTAAACAGTTGTAGTCTTCTCAGTCATAAGGTAGGTCTGAATAAACTTTTGGCAACGTCAATCTCATCAAGTCTCATTTTAATGAAAATGCCAGACAGCGTTTGACATGGAAAAACCCGGGCAGATACCCTTATAAGGGTTTCTGCCCCGACACCGCACTTGCAAGCCAAGGCATTCCCAAAATGATATCGAAGTTTGTGTCCAAGATGTCGAACGACACCGGCTGGTTCGCATGCATAAGATGCGAAATATACTAGGACGACCTCGATGTAACGATCGATAAGTTGTTGCGTCTTTCCGTCCGCCAACTTGATCGTCGTTGGGTTAGCCTTCCTCCGAACTTGTGCGCCAAGTCCAGCCCTTTGCATAAAGGCTTGGCTCATGAAATTCCGAGTCGTGCCGCTATCCAGCAAAGCGTTGTAGGACACTTGCCTAACTTGGATGCGGACATAGAGGAGCGGGTGCGTTGTTGTCATCGTACCGCTGCGTGCAAAACTCGCGGGCCACCTAGGTAACATATAGAAGGATGTCCCCCACCGCAGCTTCGTCATTCGTCAGCGAAGTTGGTGGTCCATAGAAGGATAAGTATATTTGAAGATGAGCGCAAAGTGTTGCGCATTGCGGTCCTAGTAAACGGCCCATGGTCGGGAGAAGAAGCCATACGAAATCCTCGGATGTGAGCAGGTCCAATACCTTTATATTGAACTTGCGCCCCGAATCCCGTGATGAACCACTGGAAGACGATAAGGCGCCGCTTCCAGACGGAGAAGATACCGCATACACTTCTTGTCCTTGAGCATGAGTGCCTAGCGCAGGAACGAGGCGGGCAGCATAGTCCTCAAAAGAATATAAAATAGGAGGACTATCAACTTCCACATGTGCCTCGGAACTAAGGGTGGTCGCACGCGCAGCAACCGGTTCCGAAGGCGTTGACAGTGTCGTCGACTCACTCCTGGCGGTGCTTACTTTCCCAACTGTTTGCTCCGAGCTTTCAAAGGACAAACCATTGTTTCGTGGAGGTCACTATTGCACCACAAACAATACCGGAATCTCGTGCGTAGCTTTTATATGCTCTCCGAGAGACCATTGTGGTTCCATGGGTCTTGAGCTGCAGCAACGGGCCCGGGGTGTGACATAGTGTTGGTCTTCGACCTGCCGCGTCCACAGCCTTTGCCGGGGCGGTCACCTTCCCGGGTGGCTGCGAGTCTGTCCCCCTTATTGGCAGACGCGGCCTCGCTTGAAGGGTCAGTCGGCGTTGCCGCCGCGACCATGGCCACTTTCGACCGATGCTGGTCTCTGCTCGGGCCTGTCACAGGCGCACGGTAAAGGTTATTGGCCTCCGTGTTCGTGACGATGATCTGCGCGGTCTTGTCGAAGAGCTCCGTCGTTGTGGGAGTCTCCGCAACTTGAGTCAATGCGTTGGATAATGTCGGACACGACCTCGAAATGAAGTAGTGTTTGATGGTCATAAAGCCCATCGGTATGTTCGGCGTGGACGCCAAGTGTTGGAACTCGGCAATCCAATCGCCGCTCGGCAATGTGTTCTGGTGGAACTTCAGCAACTTGTCCATTGCTTTGAGTTTCGATGGCTCTATTTGGAACCGCTTGCGCCATGCCGCCTTCAAACCCTCCCAGCTGAGCTTGGTATGTAGTTCGGAGACTACTACCTCATGCCTAGACAGAATATTCAAGTTGTCCAACCAAGCTTGGCACGTGCCCCCTGATCGAGAGCACAAGTGTGTGTGTCGCTTGTTTGCACTGGTCTGATGGATGTCAAGCTTGTTTTCGAACTGGCGGAACCATGAAATTTGGTCTGTCTTTGTGGCGTTGCAGAAGATTTCTTGGCCTTCGAACTTCAAATAGACTCACGTGTTGACGTGCTCGGGCCAGCGGCGACAGCGCAGATCCGCTGCTCGAGTTATTGAGTAGCCGCTTGATGCGCCTGTGCGCCAGCGATGAGTGTTTCGACGTTGATCTCCAAGGCGTCGAGGCAATCAGCAGTGTTGGAGCAGCTGACGACGGGGGTGGCGACGGGTCGTTGCTCCAGATGCTTTAGGCGGCTGTTGACTTGCTTAACCTCGCTGTCGAGGGAATGGATGTCCTCTTGTTGTGCAATGCACGTCGCCATGAAGTTCGTGAGATGGGAGAGCAACAACGAGATTTTGAGTCCAATGTCGCTGAATGCGCCACCCTTGGCCTCGCTCCGCCATTCCGTTGGCATAGTGAGTAAGACTCTCTCCTCTCCGAATACCTTTTCGCGCCGCATGGTACTTTCTTCATGGGCAGCCTTTGCTGCTGCCTCATCGTGTTGGCGTTGTTGTTCCACCGCCAGCAGACGCGTTGTCTTTGCATCCTCTGCCTTCTTCTTCTCCGCGGCTGCTACCGCATCCGACCGTTGCTTAGCTTCGGTAATCAAAACCAGCATCCGAGCCTGAAAGGCCTCGGTCGTTCCCCCTGGCTTCAGGTCCATGACGGCTGTTCGAGAGCGCGTGAGCATAGGCCAAGCGGAGGAACTGCTGTTGTGGCACTCTATGCTGCTGATGTGGCGTTGTTCGACTGCTGACATGGCATAGTTGTCGGCTGACGCGTCACTGCTGACGTAGCTTGCTGACATGGCCTGCTCACGTGGCCTACTGACGTGGCAACTCACCAATGCCGCAGTAGGGAGTACCCGAAGACAGATGAGAAGGAAAGAAAGAAGGGTGCAACAACATAGGTGGGGGGTGGGTGGGATTGATCGCCCAGATAAGGAGCCACTAATCAAAAGAGAAAAGTTCGAACTTTGTTGCAAAAAACAAAATCGAGAAATTAATAATTAGAAAAAAAAACTCGACTTTGCAAGTTCAGTAGGTCTCCCAATCCCCCTCAAATTCAACAATAATTAATAAAAAAAAAAAAATTGAATTGTAGACTGCAAATGATGAACAATAATAATAATGAATGATAAATAACGAAACTGTGAAAAATTTCTGCAATGTTCTAGGAATTATGGAAAAAAAAAAATTGGAGTTTATCAGATGAGAATATGTGCAGAAAATAATGAACTGCTAGAGAGGTTTTTCGTAAAAAGAATTTCGGAATCTTGAAATAACGGGAAACAAACAACGACATAAAAGTTATCGTGACCACTAAAATGCATGAAAATAAAGAGATCAACGCAAAAACAAGATCCAAGAAAAAAAATCAGAATAACAGGCAATAGAGGAAATCTAAGATGCAGTGCTATTTTGGAAGCTGTGAATTTTCAAAAAACGAATTTGCGCAGAAAAAAAAATTCCGAATGAGAAAAAATATACGATTTTTCGTAGTTAGGTCCAAATTCGCGATTTTGGGGACTAATTAGTGTGACCTAATCAATCAACCAATCAATCAATCCATCAATCAATCAATCAATCAATCAATCAATCAATCAATCAATCAATCAATCAATGACTAATCAATCATTCATCGATCAATCAATCAATCAATCAATCAATCAATTGGTTCTCGCACACGTGTCAGATCAGGTTTGTCCGGATTCACGTGCGGAGCTCCGATACCAACTGATACATGCCCAGTTGGGCAATGTATAGGGAGCCAAGGATCCGCAATGTGATGAAAAGGATTGAATGGACAATGCAATGTCAGTGGAACATCAACAGGCAAAGTACATCCTAATACATACAAAATGACACAAAGTAGCGTAGCGGAAGACTCAAAGATAAGTCCTGACCTGACCGGGACAGACGCGACATCGCATCATACACCACACATGTGAGAGGAGGAGGTGGGACTGCACACATGGAAGAAAGGTCCCTCCTTTGTACACGCACATGGTGAGGTACCACAAATGAGAGATGGGGGGAGAGGCGAGATGAAGACGGAGGCGAGAAAGACAACCGAGATCGCAATAGCGCAGTCCAAAAATAGTCCCTTGCCAATGTCCAATCAATGTCTGCCTCAAAAATGTCGGATCCGATCATGGGCACCCTGCCCACAGTAACCCCTGCCTGTATCCTCTACCTGTAACACCTCTCTCTCTCTCTCTCTCTCTCTCTCTCTCTCTCTCTCTCTCTCTCTCTCTCTCTCTCTCTCTTTCTCTCTCTCATAAGAAGAAGAAGGAGAAGTAAGGAGGGAGAGGAGAGGGAGACCGACGAAGAGGAAGAAGATGTCACCTTCCTCGCTGTCTCACTTGCAGGTGCTACCACCTAGCTGATCGGCGTCTTGTTGTCGTCGTATGCAGGTCGTGGGCGCACAGGAAGTCCCATCTATGGCACCACGCGAGTCCCTTAACGCAGGTATGGCCTCCGTCCCTTTGCCTCCCGGTGTTCATCCTCCAGGTACTAGCCTCAAAACGGCCTACTTGGTCTGGGCCCCTACCGGGTATCTAGACCGTGTTGCTGATGCACCGAGGCGTCAAAAACGCGTCTGGCCTGAAATGGCCTCGTCCCTGTGTACCTGGCCCAAGGCGTCGCCTTGGGACCTGCAATCTGAAACGACGTCTGAACAGTACCCACGGCCTGTAGGGCCGTCGTGGGTCTCCTGGGTGAGTGTTGGATGGCACGCGGCCTGGGGACCCCTCAGCAACCGTCGGACCGTTTAATTGGGGCCCGTGTGCAGGCGGAGCATGTAACACACTCTCTCTCTCTCTCTCTCTCTCTCTCTCTCTCTCTCTATATATATATATATATATATATATATATATATATATATATACTTGAGGATTGGCAAGGACCCAAGATTTAAAAAGACTCACTGAAAGAAAGAGAGGTCAATAGACTCGACCAACACCCCAACTACATGAGAACGAGAAGCGGATGGCTTGGACATTGTAAAAGAAACAGAAAAGTAAGCAATCAAGAAAGAAAGAAAATAAGTATGTGGGAGGGATTATGTGTTGACCCTGAATGGGGGTTGTGCTTGTCTATATTACATTCAGTGTCCAGGTGAGTAGCCCTTAAGATGCCTTCAACTGGACAGCGCCCGGATAGGCCGGGCGGCGAAAAGGGGACAAAAGCTAAATGGGTTGTGAACATAGCCTTCCCCCATGGATGAATCTTTATGCATGTTTTCACGTCCTTTAACAGAAATTGGTCTGAATCGTTGTGGTCTGCAAAAACGTCAATTGGCCGATAATGTCGTCGAGTCGCATGAGTATGAGGGTGGGACTCCGAAAGCACTAAGGGGTGCATAGACAAGCAATGAAATGTGATGCATGAAAGGTGAAGGATGTATGAGATAGCAGATGCCAGCAAATAGATCGGCTAGAGGTGGGAGTTGAGGGCACCCTAGTGAGGCCGTAGGGGCCAACATGGCTCAGTCCGCGGGCCTAAGCTGAGGGGTGCCCCTCCACCTCAACAACGTTCTAAGACTTTACGCCTAACGAATGGATGTGTAGCCCAAGGAAGACGCTTGGCCTACGCACAAGAGAAGAAAAACTCCCAAAAGATTCCCTGGACTGCTTGGGTATTGAAAGGAGCAATTGTCTACGAACATAATAGAGTATCGAGAAAAGGATGTTTGAGACTACCCACCTAGCGAGAAAATTGAGCTACATCCCCCAATGTGAAAGCTCTCTCGCTTGTTGGCCCACCCCCATCCATCTCAAAGCACTAGGTGGGGGTGGCCCTGTGACGAATGGCTCTTCGACCTAAGCAGAGCGTGGGCAGAGCCGAGCCAACTGGGACCCGCCGACGGGTCGACTCAAGCTCGAAAATCTAACAAGGTGGGGCCCTACACCGTACTGGGCTTGAGTCCGTATATAAGTACCGGACTCAAGTACGGTCCTGAGGGCGAAAGTGAAAATGCCTCAGGGCCAGAACTGAAAATCGGAAGTCTGAGAGTGGGCGCCATAATATCGAATGGCGCCAAGCATCCAAAATCCGTAAGTGTCAAAAGAAGGAATTTGAAAACATGTGTCAGAATGCAGATGCCGCCAACTGTCCGAAATCATAAAAGCAAGAATAAAAAACAGAAAGAATTGTAAAACAAAAAAACAAAAACTAATACAGCAAGCTGGCATGTGGTAACCCACAGACCAGGGATCGAGCCCTGGCAGAGTCTGTAATAATTACATATATTATTTTGTTTTTTGGAACACACACAAAACAAAAATTGACATTAACTATTTCATCAGAATGATATTGAAAGAGATGACGGTGAGCAGAGGACCATGAAACCTTCACCAGTAACTCACCATACAAGTCCAAGGTGTAGCTCAGTAAGGTGGAGGGTCAACTAGTTGACAGGTTGACGAATGGCAAGTTGACGGGTACTCCAAGTCAGCAATAAGGATGTGGGCAGGGGTTGAGGCCTGCTTAAAGGCATATTCACATTATAGACCTTTTCACCTGATTTTTTAGGAGCATCAGTACGGCTCCTATTCCACTGGCAAGTTGTAAATTTACATCAGGAAACTAACACACACCTCCTTTCATCGGTTGAAGGATCCCTAGTCACCATTGGTTAGTCTATTTTCATAGAGGATTGATTATCAGTTTGCCTCTCTCCAATAGTTCCTCTCAGACTCGGTGGCCTAGATTGCCAGGTTAACTCGATAAACTAGAATCTATGGAGGTTGATTTTTTGGGACAGAGACAGGATTTGCATTCTTGGTTGGAATGTAATTTGGATCCCATAGCTCTCTCCCAAACCTACCTTCAACATCCGATTGTCCCATCATGCTCGCCTATTGCAATCATAGGTGGTAGTGAGGAGGTTTTAGGTAGTGTGTTGCCTACTGCAACTTTGGGGGCCCCAAATTTTCCCCATTACATTTTCTGTTGTTATGGGTTTAAGTCGTGTACTGGGTCTTGATAATTTGCTCGAGTGTTGGGGTTGACGTTCGGGTTTGTGATTCATCGAGTGTGGTTTCTAGTTTGGGTATGGTTGGGGTCAGATTTGGGTTAGGTTTGGGTGAGATTTGCGTTAGGTTTGGTGTAGGGTTGGGTTAGGTTTGGGTTAGGTTCGGGTTAGGTTTGGTTAGGTTTTGGTTAGGCTTGGGTTAGGTTTGCGTTTACGTTATAAACAAATCAGCATGCAGGTTAGACAAGTTGGTTTGCCAATTATCATAATCGTTTTGATTTATCTCAATATAATTCAATTAACAGTAGCAATCAATTTTTTAATATTGATATACATAAAGATGCAAAATTTACCAGTAACTTCAATAAGAGGTTTGAATATACTGAAAAAAAGTAGTTCTAGGAGTCTACCAGAGAGTATCGAGTTTAGTCCCACAAGAGTATGCAAAGAGGCAATGCTAATTGCACTGACAAACTGGCAGAGAGGAAGAAAAAAACAGAAGAATCTCAGAGCATGGCCAAGGAAAGTAGGACAAAGGTCACATTATACACACTGTCGTTCGCACCTGCAAATGTGCTACCAGCTTTTCGAATTGCTTGAGGGAGCGTGCCACATCATGACCATGTTTTCCACGCAAATATGGACCAGGGAGAAACTGAGTGCCTCCAGTTGCATTATCCTTTGATGAATTAACGGCAGAATCCTTGCCATGATCTTGAGTGTTGCTGCTACCCTGACCTACTGTTGTTGTTGTGGCTGTTGTTGTTCCTGATGTTGTTCCTGTTGCTGCTGCTATAGCTTTTGGTATTGTTGGTGCTGTGTTTTTTGTTGTTGCTGCTGCCCCTGATGTTTCACCGCTTCTCTCACTCTTTCCCTGTGCTCTTGTTGTACCTCTTGCCGTTGTTATTGTTGTTGCAACTGATGTTTCAACACTTCCGCCACTCTTTCCTACTGTCGCTGTTGTTGTCCCTGTTGCTCCTGATGTTTCAGCTTTGACGTGGGTCTTTCCACTGGGAGATTTCACAGTCGATTGTGTGTCTGAAGGCTGGCCACTAAGCAGCAAATAGTTCTTGGTGACTCGTGGCTGTTTCGCCCCATTAGGACTATCTTTTGTCGATTCTCCTTTCGAAGCCATACCTGCACAACTGAAAAGAAAACAAACACGAGACACCAGCATTGGATAAGAACACATACCAATTCAACAATCGACGGAAACCACTGAGCAACAGAGCAGGATGTCTATTTTGCTTCCTCGTTCTGATTTTTTTTTTTTTTTTTTTTTTTTTTTTTACCTTGTGTAAGGAATATGAGTGCGAACGATATACAGAAAACCAAGTTGCGAAATCACACAGATGTTCAAGTAGTCGTGTACAAGCATAGAGCACAATTGCACCGAGAATCCATCCAAATAGAGAAATACAATGAAGTAATGAGCCAATGTTCAAGCCCTCAGGCCACACCAACACAGTATCCAAAGTCGCTCCTCTCTGTCTGCCGCCCAGCGCCTAGCCTACCCTACTCGACGATCCTACCTACAACTGTGTTCACGCAACAGGCTCACTTCGACTTTCAAAGACCAATGTACATGATGTCAACACCATAGTCGACCTCTCTTCATGCACCAGGTACGGATCACGTCACCCTCATCAGACCTTGATAACCTACACACTCGCCTCCTTCCCTGAAGACCACCTGATCGACCTCTTACCCCCTAGCGCCCAGCAGCCCGGCTATGGCTGCCCGTGCTTCGCTGTCCGTGCTTCGTTGCCCTGCAGCGCCCCACTTCACCTCAACACCACAAGTGGTTAACGACCTACTGAAATTTCAGAATGAAATCGCTGAAATGGCCTGAAGACACCTCAGGTCGTTTCCAGAGTTTCAGGTGGTTTGAAGGTCAGATTTTATGTTCGTTTTTTTTTTCTTCCTGTTTTTTGTTTTGGTTCAACATTGTTGTGTGCCACTTCATGTCATTTCAGGATTTTCGGGTGGGGAAACCTGAAACCTCTTAAATGATTTGAAGTGGCTGAAGTTGAAGCTTCTAAAAGCGGTTTCAAATGCCCCCATGCAAATTTTTGGGTTGGGGCATCTGAAACCGTTTTCAGATTTTCAGCCACTTCAAGTCATTTCAAGAGTTCCGTGTGGGGAGACCTGAAACCTCTGAAATGACCTGAAGTGGCAGAAACTTCTGAAAACGGTTTCAGGTCCCCCCATCCAAGTGATTGGGCAGGGGGACCTGAAACCGCTTCCAGAATCTTCAGCCACTTCATGTTATTTCAGGAGTTTCAGGTGGGGAGACCTGAAACCTCTAAAATGGCCTGAAGTGGTTGAACTTTCTGAAAGTGGTTCTAGGTCTCCCATCCAAATGCTTGGATGGGGGGACGTGAAACCGCTTTCAAAAGTTTCAAACACTTCAGGTCATCTCAGAGGTTTCAGGTGGGGACATGAAACCTCTTAAATGACCTGAAGTGGTTGAAGCTTCTGAAGACGGTTTCAGGTCCCCCCATCCAAGTACTCAACACCCGTATTAAGCAGTTGAAAATGACCTGAAAATATAGGCATTTGTTAACCTTCTCTCAAAGAAGACAAACGAAAAAAAAAGGGGGGGAAAAAAAACAAAACCAATGAAACAAAGGCCTATTTCAGGTCCCGTGTGTCCAGCACCCATGTACTAATTTGACCTCCAATCTTTCGTCATAGTCCGATAACGAGTTGCTCCCACAACCCGCATCTAGATGATTATATTGTTCGGGGGGGTCTTATTCGAGGCCTACGACACACGTAGGCAGAAAAAACTCTGAGCCGCTTTTTATTATTATTACCTATACTAAAAGACGAACAAACGGAAGAATGAAGAAAAAAAAAGGAAAAAGGGAAAAAAAAAAAAAAAAAAAAAAAAAAAAAAAAAAAAAAAAAAAAAAAAAAAAAAAAAAAAAAAAAAAAAAAAAAAAAAAAAGAAGTGTTATGATCCTGGCCAATTTCGAGATACACATCCATTAGATAGTACAATGTCGTCCAATTGCAGAAAGAAAAGAATGAACTTGAGAGGAGAGAGAGAATTATTGGAAGAAGAAGAAGTAAGGAAGAAGATGAAGAAGAAGTAAGGAAGAAGAAGGAGATGATGTACACCATCATAGACACATGACAAGGCTCTTCTTCTTCGCCCCACAATCTCTTCCTCCTTATCTCCCCCTTCTCTTATTCATACAAGAAGTAATAATACAATGTTGAATGGTTGATCCAGAATCAATATCCGAGTTCCTCTTCTACTGTCGGCATCACTTGAGGTCCACCATAGCCATGGCCGCCTCTTCCTCCCTTCATCATAATAGGCCGAGGCTATGGCGGACTACTAGGTCTTTCCCAGATGCCCAAAAGACAACCCAAAGCAGCTATGGCTGCTCCAACTCAGGCCGCCATGCCCGACTCTGCCTTGAAGCTTCTTGGTGTAGCTCTTCCCAGTTGGGGACTCCCTGTTGCAGCGCCTACCAAGGTGATGAAGATGGCTGCCACCATAGCCAGGTAAGTACCCCTGGCACTCCTTCCCCTTCTTGTCCTCCTTCCTCCTCCGTGTCCTTCTCCTTCCCCCAGTGCGCTGCTCTGGATAGCGCTGCTCCAGTCGGCGCTCCAACCAGTGTGTCGCCAAACTTGCACACCGAGAATGAGGTCGGGATCTTCGCCCGACTGGGAGATATAGCGGCATGCTTGCCTCTTCGGGCGGTGACTTCCAAGGCGCTCGACCTTCCAAGCAACCGGTACCTCCTCCCTTTCGGAGGGAAACATCATTGCAGACTCTGATATTACCCGTACAGGCCCTACACCCAGACTGGTTGGACTGGTACCCACCTAGACCTAACCTACAACTACTGGGCCTCTAAAAATGCCACTTTTGTCTTCTTCTACTCAGCCTCCAGTACCGGCACATCTACCTCTTCAAGGTGCGGTACCGGCCTACCTGCTAATTGAGTGTTTTTCTCGCTGCAATCCCTCAATGTCACGACCACAGGTAAGTACCGTCCCTGAGGGCCCAATGAACGAGCAAGTGCCCTTGCGGACCACACACATACTCAAGCCAACCAACAACCATACAGGCACAGTCATACACACACTCAAGCCAACCCGCACTCAGACAGACATGCAGTCCAGCAAGCGTGCACACACAGACTTAGTAGCAAGCGGAAAACTCGGCAAGGCATTCAGTTTATGGGCAAAAACTCAAAAATCAGCCGTGAGTTTCAATCCATGTTTGGACGGGTCATCACAAAAAAAAAAAAAAAAAAAAAAAAGGAGAAAAAGAAAGGAGCGTTAAAAAGACAGCGGACCCAATCACAATGCTAAATACGGGGACATTGGTGAGAAGGGGAGAGAGAGAGAGAGAGTGCGCCCGATCGCGGAGTTTCTCAGTCCCGCGAGTTCAGATGCCTAGCTCTCCGTCGTTTGTTCTCTCCTGTCACCTGTATGCATGTGTGTGTGTGTGTGTGTGTGTGTGTGTGTGTGTGTGTGTGTGTGTGTGTGTGTGTGTGTGTGTGTGTGTGACAGAGAGAAAGAGAGAGAGAGAGAGAGAGAGAGAGAGAAAGAGACCGAGAGAGAGCGAGAGAGAGAGAGAGAGAGAGATGGGGGGTCGAGGAAGGGGGTAGGGCGGCGGGAAAGAGGACGGGGGGCCCTGGGGCGTTGAAGGCGCGAAGCGATTTCATTTTCTTTCATTTTTTTTTTTCTTTTTTTTTCTTTTTTTTTCTTTTTTTTTCTTTTTTCTTTTTGCCAATCGTGCACCAGTGCAAGCCTAACCTCTAGGCCACATAAAATTCACCATAACAGTCGTGCACCACAAAAAAAATAACGGCGGAATTACCGCTCGCCATGCCGTCAAAACTGGTACCACGCCACCGTGTGGCATCACCGCCTAATCACACACAAAAAATTGCCTCCACTGTGACGCAAAAAACCTGCAGCATTTTTCCTTACAATAGTACCGCCGACGTTCTACCAACCGGACAACATAACCTCAAAGAAAATGTTGCTGCCGCCGCCAACTTCGGCAGCATGATCCCACCGCATGCATTGTCGTTGCTGCGCCGCTGATCAAGCAGCACCTCCCCACACTCATATAAAAAAAAAACAGCGGCACTGTGTAGCAAATCCGGCAGCACCTTCCCTTATGAAGGTCTTGATGCCGCAGTGGCAGTTCGGCAGCACAACCCCACTAAAATAGGTGTCGCTTGTCGCGCCGTCCGGACCCTGACGCAGTCTTACCGCCGTTGCACCAGCCCACACACGCAGCACACGCACAAGGGTTGGGCAAAAAGCTTCCAGCCCTTAGCTATGGCTGCCTCCCTTCTCACTCTCCATCTTTCTGCAGACCTCCACTCCACTACCAACACCTCCACCGGCAGCACCGCCCCTCTCCAGCAGCATGCAGCAGCCAACCAACATTCACTCAAGTGAATGCCCCAGCAGCGCTGCCACAAGTGTGAGGCTGTTGGGTGGAGTGTTGGCTCTTATAGCTAGTTGATGGCATGTGGGCAGCTGCTTTACCCACAACCAGGCAAAATTCGTCAGTGCTCCTGACCCTTTATCTAAATCGATGGTCAGGAGCCCTCTGCCTTGGTTTTCCCTCACGAGAACCAAGGTCTTTAATCCCCATAAGTACCTGGTCGTTTTCCCAGGCCAGGTGCCCCTGGAAATGGTTGTACCCAGCCATTTTACTGCTGTCTGTTCAGAACGGACAGGCGCAGTTCCATCAGCCCCTAGAAACTTTCGAGGCTGTACCTGTTCCGCAGTCGCAGCCACATTCGCGACCGTTACTTTTTTTTTTATCTTCCCTTCCTTACTTTTCTTTCTTCCTACTCCCTGTATCTACTCTAATTCTGTGGCCACGTATGTGGCCGTTACTTTACCCCTTTCCTTTTGTGTGAGGCAGCCCGTTGTCCAAAACGAACGGCCACCCCCGTCATTTCACTGAGTCGAACCAGAGTCAAGCTCAGCAGGGTCCTTTCCCTGTGTGCACCCGTATCGGGCACAAAAAGTGTGCCTGATTCGGGCGCAGTTGGCTAAAGCTGACTTCGAAGGATCAAAGAGCATCGTCGTTATGAACGTTTGGCTGCCATAGGCTAGTTACCTCGATGGTAACTCCCCGGAAAAAA